CAGTAGCTGGCAAGAAAAGCAGATGAATCAAACCTCAGCTTTCATATTTTCAGCTGTATGACTTTATTGGCTAACACAATAGAGATTCAAGATAATTTTGTACTCAGGTGAAAAGCTTTTTACACCATCACAAAATAGCACCTTTTTTTTTTTAACTGAACACTTCAGAGGAGCTTCCTTGCAACACTGACTATTTCCCCCCACAGGGAAATCTCAGTCTTGACAACAGAGTATTTTATTGCAGAACAGAACTGGCTCTTAATCTTTCATTCTTATAGGCAACAGGCTTTGTGGCTTGTTTGCGAGTGGGAGTGCTTCCCTTAAACATTCACAAGTAGAACAGCATCACACAGCAATTAATGTTTACTTTGCACAAGACAAATGAAGAAGTTTGGGAATAAATCATAGATATGTGCGATTTAATATTTAGTTGTTTTCATAAGAGAAGGCAGTAGGTTCAGAAAAGAATAATAGTTTTTTTTTCCCCAATCCTGTCTAGCAGTGTACTTCAGCTAGATCCTTCATATGAAATCTAACACACACACACACACACACTCTCTCTCTCTCTCTCTCTCTCTCTTCTTCACCCAAAGCAAATTGCTCAGGAATCAATTTGGCAAATAGGATTCTAAAGCATCTGTGCCCAAAGGCACAATCAAAAAAGTTATTTCTGCCTCTTATAAAGGAAAGGAAAGCTCCCAAGCAATAATTTCATGATATGCATAAACCCATTGCATCAAAAGTGCTCCTTTCTATCAGAAAAAAAACAACCTTTCAACATTTCTGCTTTCTTGGCTTAGGAATATTGTGCCACTGTGTACTTCAAACAATTTCAATATAGACTATCACGTACAGGTGGTATATAAATAACAACAGCTACTTTCAATATATTATCCTAATTCTGAAACTTCAGTGCTGCCCCCACCATATTTGTTGAAGCCCCTTACCTTAGTTTCACCTTTCAGGAAAGGTCAGTGATTAGCACCCTGAGACTTCAGTCCCATGCAGACTTATTTCAAAGCTCTGCTGAGATCAGTGAAACTTAATACATGCAGTGCACATTTTTTCTCTTTACATTGGTCAAACCCTCCATTAATAAGTACTGGAAATCTTATAGCAAGAACGGGGAACATGTGGTCCTCCAAAAGTCAGTTCCTATCATCCCTAGCCAATATGCTCAGTGGTCAAGGATGAATGGAACTTCAGCCTGACAACAAATTCTCCATTTATGTTGTGGCCAATGGAGGTTGGAGATAATGCTGCACACTAGCTAAAGGCTTGAGGTTCTTTACACAGTGGGAGGGGAATGCTCAGAGGATAACCATGGTAAAATATCACCACAAAGGGATGGCCAATGGATTAGATCCAGTCCCAGTTAGGTCCTATTGAAATCAACTTTGTTGAGAAGTTTGTTATGACTAACCAAGCCCTATTAATTTCAGGGAGAATTAAGAGTGACCAGGTTGGTCTCGATCCAGCCCAATTTCTTTAGTGCTGTGCCAAAAATGCAAAAATAAATAAATAAAGGAATTCCATCATAAATCAGCTTCATGTTTCATATATATCAACATGGCATCTCCTCAGCTCAGGTTGGTGGACATATTGCCTGAAATTGCTCCCTTAGTTGCAAAATACTAGTCAGCTTCTGGGTGACTGGAATGTTTAAACAAAAACTTCTGCTTTCTCCTCCTAGTTTTATCTCATTTTTATGACATGTTGAGTATGAATGTGTCATCCTCCTCCTAAGATATTTTTGTGCCAGCTAATTTCTTCTTGTAGGATGATTGGTATTCTATAGCATACTGATTAGGGTGCATATATATATAAGAGTCATGTATATGTCATTCTCCTTTATTACTAACTTTCATTTAATTTCCATTTTATGTAGGATTGTTAAGCAAAATCAATAAAAACCCAAGATCACTCAGCTTTGGGGGGAAATATTGATGTACAAACCTAAACATCGTGAGAGTGAAAAGTTATAATGAGTTAGGATTGGGTTTTTTGCTTATTACCCTATTTCCCTGCATCAGTTCCTCCATGATGTTTTAAAATACATCTTTGCAGCTATGAGGATAGGACACTTAATGGGGGTGGGGTGGGGATGCAAGGTTGAATCTTAGTATGGAGCAGTTAGTTCAGTGTAGTAACAAGCAAAGCCAATCACCAGAGCAGAAATCTACTTCACAAACCCTCAAATCCAGACCTAATAATGGTTCTGTCCAAAGATCTCCTGAGTCACAGTCAGGTGACTCACAACCAACTGTCCAACTGGACTCTGCCTGCATAAAAACTTGAGTCCTTTTCGAATCTGAGCCTGGCAGGCCAAGAGCTATGTACAGCAAGATACTGTTGCCCAATATTTGACAGATCCAGAATCATTCTGCTCTGCTCTTAGAGGTTGTCACATTCCTCTGCCAGCTGCTGGAGTGCCCAGCATGACATGAGACAACAGAGCTGTCAGATGCAATAGCTAACACTACAGAGTCAAATTAGACAATGCTTTCTGTTACTGCTCCCCGTTGAGGAGCAAACATATGTCTTACTCTCTCTCACCACCAGCCTGCCCAACTTCCAACGCCATTGGCAGTTCAGGCATAAGAGGGACTTAAGATGGGGCGTGCATGACCCAACTTTAGTAGGCTTAATATAAAATGTATTATTGGAGAAATCAACCATGTTAAATGGGCCTACAGTGCATTGGACTGCCTGTGTGTGGGCACCATTAAAATGTTACAATCCTGCATGGTGGGATCAGAAATGGGGCAGGTGTGCCGGCTTGTGAGGAAGCATAAGGTGTGCTCTTGCTTTCATTCCTGACTACATTATTCGTCCAAGCTGGCCCATGGTACAGACCCAACACACAGACAAATCTGTATTCAGGCTATGTTCAAAAACATAGCATCACACTCTCAGAAGACAGTCTTCTTGTAAGGACTACAGCAACATGGCTTCCTGGCACCAAGTTGCCCTCAGTATTATTATATAATTATTATATAATTGTTCAGTTTGATTTGTGCTGTATTTGTGATGTTCTGTTATGTAATTGTTATTTACTGTTTATAGGCCACTTTGAGATTCTTCTGAATGAAAAGCGACACAGAAATATAATAAATCAAATCAAATTACTACTGCTCAGTCACCGGTTAGGTCAAGTACCTAAATGTGCCCATTAGAAAGCCTATTAAATCATGTGTTTGCAAGGGTTAAATGAAGAGGGCACAGTCCATTTGAGTCCTAAAATGTGTCCTTGCCTTTGTCCTTCAGGTGCATGTGAAAACTGTGCCACAAAGCATTTGCCTGCTTAGGAATGTGCAGCCTTGGTGCAGTTTGTTGGTACAAAACATTAAGTCTATTACAAGGGTTTTTATAATGTCTTCAGTCCTCTTGAAGTATCACCCAGCCGTTCTTCCGTCAGGCCTCAAATGATGCAATTCATCAGCCAGTTACTGATGGGGCTTCGAGGAAAGTCCAATTCTGAAATATATATGGGACTGTGAATCTTTCGTTAGGTAATATAAATAAATCTAGTCTCAGAAGTGCTGCCTTCTTAATCATCTTTAAAACACAATAGGGCTGTCACTGCAGCCCATGACTCTGATTTTCTCTGCTGGAAATATGGCAAGGAGAAGCAGCCATTTCCTCGAAAAGAATGTGAAATGTGGAGGAAAAGGAAGAGCAGACTTATTTTGGGAGCAGAAGCAATGTTTACACGTGCACTGGCAGATTCCTCTTCTGTTTACTAATCTGGAGCAAATCACCCACCCAGACAAAACACAAAAAAAGTCTAATAAGTGGGGAACAAAATGAGGTAGTTATTTAACCTATATTCATTTTAAAAAAATATTTTCAGGTTGATTTACAAAAACTAAATACACACAGACACAAACTATAAATGAATCAATGCCCAAGCGAATAAAAAGTCAGAAACTCTGTGAATCCATTCAGTTGGATGCACATACGGCTGGGGACAAGCCACCACGATCCAGCTTTTACACATTCACTTCACATGGTTTTACTATGTGAGTACAGTTCAAGTTTACAGAATCAAGTATCAAACACAGAAGCCCTGACGTAGAAGTATCTCAGAATGCAACCAGCTCTCTTTTCACCTTAGCACCTCTCACATATTAACACAACATGGATTCGATGCAACGTCAAAGGCTTCATCTGGCACACCATGGTACATGGACAGACATAGGCTAGATCAGGGGCCAGCAACCTTTTCAGCCGTGGGCCAGTCCACTGTCCCTCAGACCATGTGGTAGGCTGGACTATATTTTTTTTGGGGGGGTGAACGAATTCCTATGGCCCACAAATAACCCAGAGATGCATTTGACTTAAGAGCACACATTCTACTCATGTAAAAACACCAGGGAGGCCCCACAAATAACCCAGAGATGCATTTCAAATAAAAGGACACATTCTACTCATGTAAAAACACCCTGATTCCTGGACTGTCTGTGGGCCAGATTGAGAAGGCGATTGGGCCGCATCGGCCCACCAGCCTTAGGTTGCCTACCCCTGGGCTAGATTATCTGGCTGGACAAATCTTTCATGAGGAATAGGACTGCAAGTTCACCCAACATACATATACAGACTCCTAATAAAAAATAGGGCATGAATCCTCCAGCCATTCGCCTCATTCCCTCGAAAGAGATGGTCAAAGAATGCAATGTCTTGGCCAGCTGCTGCATGCATGAACTTTTACATCGATAATCCACTGCACTGTGTGTTTGAGGCGAGGGAAGCAAACACGTTCCTCCACCATTTAAATTGTAATAGTGACCCAATAAATGTGTGAATGGTGCCCAAGAGATGACACATGAATTAGAAGAAAAGATGTGATTCCAAGTTATTTGCGTTTTACTTTTTGCCTTTGTTGGCAAAGCCAAAGATCTTTTGAAGCTTCACTTTGGCCTGGTAAATATCTGTTGTGAACTATTTGCGTCTCCCATGAGGTATCACACATTTTTTACGCAAAGGTCTGTATTTCCTACCTTTTTTTGCTTGTCCTGCCTCAGGGCCTCTTCTAGCACTAGAAAGTCTTGAGAGAGAAAATTTTCTGCTCCTGTTGAGAGAGAAAAAAGAGAGGTAGTGTTGACCCTCAGCTTGTAGTTTTACAAAGAAAACTTTAAAAGAGAGTTGGGGGAGGAGGAAAAGCAGAAGAGAAAAGCCAGTGAAATATGGGGGGGGGTTGGAACATCATTTTCTGCAGAAGAGAGTTTGTAGTTTTAAAGGGGGGAAACGTCAATACACTTGGAAGACTTTCATATGATAATACACTGTGAGCCAGAGATAACTTTTTAATTTGTGAATGGTGTTGCCTAGTGCTGTTTTTCTAGAAAAAGAGGTTCTGGAACTCAACAAGAATACTACCCTTGTTCTCTTAGAATGGCAATGGCACCCACCTGAGAGGTGCCGGAACTGAGTTCCGTCCAGTTCTGGCTGACCTGGTATTGCCATGGGACACAAGTGGCTCAAAATGACATCTCCCCCACCCCCTACTCAAAGAAACATGCCACCTTTTGATTCCCCTTCACACCTTAAGTAACTTGAGAAGGGGAGCTGTCAATTATCTCTGCTGCTACCAAACCCTTCCTTGACTGTTCCACCTGCCAACATCACCAGCAAAAGCACTATTAATTTTGTGAATGAGACGGCAGTCCGGCATATGTTGCTGAACTACAACTCCCACCATCCATGACCACTGATCATGCTGCCTGGGATCTGGAGTACAGCAACATCTGGAGATCTGCAGCCTCCCCGCAACCCAAAATAAATGAATGCATATTCTTCCCCTGTTGCTCTTATCTCCATTTTCCTCTGCGCTCCTCTGTTGTCTCCCATATTTTGCACCTCAGACAGTTACTCATCTATGGAACTACATTAACAACACGAGCAATTCATGAAGTCTGAAGGGACCCAGATGCAGACTACCTTTAACCTACAACAAAGTCCGTGTTTCTTCCTACTGTTCCTTCCTATTAAATTGACCAGGGAGGGGTGGTAAGAATGGCAAAGGTTAGAAAGAGAGAAGGACAAAACTACAGTCAGCCTTCCTGTATCCTTCTTAGTGATCTTGGGGAGCCTGTCAAAAATTTCCCCTCTCTCATAGACTGACCTAGATACTGAAGTCAGGAAATGTAATAAAAATGAAAATAAAAAAAATATCCCCAATGCAGAATGCAAGACATAAGCTTTTTCTTTGTAAACATCCAGTGAGCACCATCACAAAGCGCAAGAGCCCTCATTATATTTAATAACTCCACGAACTCCAACTTAGCTGCTAGCAATTTCAGGGTGGTGGGATGTTAATGTTCACACACTGGATCAAATGAAATATTCTGCTTTTTACCTGCCTAATTAGCATTAACACAAAGACCTTGGGCGCAGCCAATTTTGTACGCAAAAATCCCCCCTAAACCCAATGCCAGTTCTCAGCAATATACCTTCTGGCTCTAACCGAGGAGAAAACTCATAACCTAGATCCAAACAAATAAGGGTGAAAATCCCCTTGGCCACACAACAAGGCATCCGTATTTGCCTGCAGTGCCGCCTAAAAGGGTTAGTGGCAGTAATGTTCAGTGGTTATGCAACTTTCATAGGTTGACAGTCAACCAAACTTTGACTTAAAGAGTAGGCCCACTGTAATTAATGGACATAACTTAGTCGTGTTCATGAATTTCCACGGGTCTCCTGAGTTGAATGCCACCCACAGAAGAATAAGCATTTTATTTTCCATACACTGGTTTTTGAATCTTAAAATACTATGGATGAAGACTACATTTGGTAAGAAAACCAGCGTATATAATTCCACAATTTAGCTAGGGATGTCATCAGAGCTCTGTTCAAATCAAGGCTGGGTCAGCTCAAAAGCATATGTCACAGTATACATTTTGATTTAAAAATCATTACCCATACTTGCACCCAAAGACAACTTGGAACTATTCTAGAAAATGCCAAACCCCCCAAAATGCACCATTCCAGTTCATAAAACTGCAAGTCTCTTTATTCCTACTGAGGCTGAAGCAAAACAACCACTGTGTGTTTGAAATCATTTTCATGTTCAACAACGAATATCACAAAATCAGCATAATAATTACACTGGAAGCTGCAAAATAAACAGAAGTCTGATGGAAACACTTCAGTTAATCACCAAATATATTATCTGGACAAATATTAGAAACAGCAGCAATTGTTATTTTAAGGAAGCTACACGAGATCCAACTATGGTTTTCCAAGTGGTAGTCTACACAAAGTGGGCTCAGATAACGGCTAACGAAATCAAAAGCTCCCCTCTTGACTTCCTTGCAAGCCCATCTGGGGATAACCTCTGGTTTGTTTACATGAAACAAACAATACTTTGAGGACTGTGTAGGGAGCGAATCAGAGGAGAAAGCAGAATAAAAGCCAACCAACGGCTATGGCAAGATTCAGTAGCAGAAACTGGGCTCTGTGCTGAGGGAAGTTCCATTTTTTAAATAATGCTGTTAACTGAAATAAAGACTTTCTTTGGGGTTCTATGTCCGGGATCTTCATTAGGGTCCAGAAATTACATACTTGCGGGGAAGGGGATACAGGGTTGATGGAGGACTCTGGGTAGGAGACAGAAAACTATTGGTCTCCCAGGGTGAGAGGCTGTGAGTGGCAAGGTCCAAGAATTACTTTTAAGAGAGGACTCCATATTTTAAGTACACTTCAGGTTACATACACTTCAGGTTACAGACTCCACTAACCCAGAAATATTACCTCGGGTTAAGAACTTTGCTTCAGGATAAGAACAGAAATCACGCAGCAGCGGCGCGGTGGCAGCAGGAGTCCCCATTAGCTAAAGTGGTGCTTCAGGTTAAGAACAGACCTCCAGAACAAATCAAGTTCTTAACCCGAGGTACCACTGTATTCAATTTGTATCTTCTGTAGCTGCAATTTTACTGTATTATGGGGAAATCTTAATAATAAAGCTTAAAAACAAAAGGTGCTGTTAACCAAAACAACCAGCAAAGACTAGTGGCTGAGATGCCCTCAGCTTCCCTGGTCCAGATAAAGAGGGCTTGTTGTCTCAGCGCTGCTTCATTTCTCAAGAGAGCGACAGTCCCAAAGGCCTCCACGCCAAACCACTGATCTAGCAATATGGCCTGGTGTCTGTCAACACAGGGACCTGTGGGCAGCTGCAGCCCACAAACACTAGCATGTGGCCTGCCTACCCCTCCATGAAAGGTAGCTGAGTGTGGGAAGCCACCATTTTTAAAAATCCCCACATTAGTACCCTGGAGCTCCAGACAAGTAGCCTCTTTCATAGGGGAAGAAAAGCTTTGAAAAACGTGGAGGACAAATTTCAGCGCAGCACTACTTTGTCAACATGAAGGAGCATTCAAAGGCGGCATTCACCCACTTGTAATTTGAAGTGGTACAATCCACTCCACCAACCTCAGCATTCTACCACCTCGTTCTGTGTAGACCCACTCTCTGACCAGCGGAGGGTGGTCCATTCGGGCTGCCTTCTTACTTCCAACCTTCTTACAACCAATCATGTGGTGGCTCTGACTCCACCTACTGTTGGTCTCCCTTCCTTCTGTCCAGAGACAGCACATCCCGTTTACCACCTGAGGCAAAACAGGAACATGCCGCCGTGCCACCCCACACCACTGAAGCCTTCTTTACTTCCCTTATGTGCAGAAGTGGCAGCAGTTTCCGGCGAGATCTTACCAGAAACTGACAGTGCTGCTTCTCCAAAGTGGTTGCTTCACCTCATGAGCAGGCCAGTCCTGCGTCTTTCCTACGAGTCCCATGGACAACAGCCACCAGTGCCTAGGGACCTGCCTTCTCACTACTCTATGATGAAGGAATTAAACCATCAGTTTTTCCATTGACTTCAGACAGCTTGATGCTTGCCTATACAGTGGTACCTCTGGTTGCGAACGGGATCCATTCCGGAGGCCCGTTCACAACCTGAGCAGAACGCAACCCGCGTCTGCGCATGCACGGGTCGCTATTCACCACTTCTGCGTATGCGCGTGATGTCATTTTGAGCGTCTGCGCATGCGCGAGCAGCGAAACCCAGAAGTAACCCTTTCCGGTACTTCCGGGTCGCCGTGGGACGCAACCTGGAAACGCACAACCTGAAGCAAACGTAACATGAGGTATGACTGTATTCCTACACATCTGAAATCTTTTTGTTACACTGCCTCATGGAGCCTTTGATTTTAATTCAGCCCTTATTTTCCTTGGAGCTTTCATCAAGGTTTCCTTAACACACAATTTCATCCCTTTCAAGACCTTTACTGTATAGCGCAGAATGTACATGGAGGATTATTTCTGTTTGTAAAGAAAGTTTAATTATTCTATCAAGAAGCTTAGCAGGGCCACCCCACAGAATGAATCTCACAGATTATCAGCTTCCACGATTAAAGCTAAATGTGGTGCTCTCTCTGAATTCTTTTCCCTCTCTTGTTTGGTGTGATAAGCATCCCCTTAGAGAATTTTACTGGAATTTGGAGCAACACAATGTGACTAAAGGTACAAGTCAGAATGAGCCACACAACAAGCTGCCCATATATGGTGTGCAAAGTCATTCTGAATATTATTAAAGAATCTTAAAACTTAAGCGTCCTTCAGTTCCATTGCAAATCTGTAACTTGATTTGAATGCCTTCCTTAGGGTTTGAATCAAATCACATGGCCACAATCACACAGCACAAAGCACTGCTTGCCTTCCAGTGTGGTATCTGGTGTATCAGTGGCATATTGTGAATGGGGGGGGGGCATACCAGAAAGTTTCTAGTATTGTGAGGTAAACTTGTAAAAAAAACAAAAACCTAAGCAATTTTGCAAAATAACTGCTAGGAATCGATTCTCACCTCCTACCTACTAGGGAATACAAGCCCACCTGAGATTACTTGGACTTCATGGCTCCCTTGAGCTTCAGTTTCCCAATAGTCTCTGTAAGAAGCCTCAGAAGAAGGTCACCAGTAGACTTATCAGCAGTCCTTTTTTATTTAGACACCTTGGCTATGCTTCATCCCTTTGCTTTGCTCTTCCATGGACTGTTCACTGCACATTTGCCCTTAGT